TCAGTAAATTAGATGGTTTATATTCACCCTATTTGGTTAAAGGTGATGATGCCTGACATCCCTTGAAATTCAAATCTGCCGAAGGGCACTCGTGGCAATATGGCGTAGTGATCAACGTGTCGAGATTACAGGCTGCACCGTCATGGTTCGACTCCTTGGGGTGTTGATAAGACCTATACGAGGTCGGAACTGCAGTCCACTCTGGATGAGAACATATTTTGGGAAAGCAAGATTATATGATGCTCAATGGAAACGTCAGCTATACTCATATCATTGTGGGGAAAATCAACTACCAGTCCTTCATCACCTTAAACGAAATAGGGTGAATACATCTCATATTGCTGTTCCCTGATGCAAAGTTTATGTTAATCCCGACTTCTTCGAATCTCTTGTTTATTAGATTCCTTTCAGTCAATATATCAACGCCTTCTCGTATCTTGCGTCTTCTTTTACTTTCACTATATGCAGCTAGCCTCTGTTTATTTCCACTCGATTGAATGTCCCACCTATGTGATGTTCCGCTATTTCAGATCTTTCAGTATCCCTGCTTCAGCAGTCTTTAAATTTCTTGATTCTTAGTCTGATTTCTCTTCCTCTTTCAACAACACTCCAGACACAGATGGGGAGAAGGGGGATGTGGGAGCTCGCAGGAATTGTGGGTAGGTTTCAAATAGGTTTAGATAAACAAGTAGGAAATTGTAAGGGGTGATACGAGGATATAGGACAGGTAAATACCCCAGGAAAGAAGAGATACTACAACTGTTTAGTAGACAATTGGTTAAAGCATTGATTAAACACTTGCCTCTTTGACGAGATGTAGTGTGGTGCTACGACTGGCAAGACTCATTGACGATCTCATTGAAACGTCTCGGAATGTACCAAGTCCACTATCCGACTCACGAAGTTATCATGCATACTATGCACTTCAAATAAGGTGCATTTATCAAGGTCTTCCTACCAATATGATCAGGTTACGAAAACAAGGTCAAACAACTGCTATACAAGGAAAGGAGATCGCGACCATACAAAAGGTCTTCACATTTTCAAGAACAAAGATTGGCTAAGAAAAGTACATAGGAATTTTACTCATTATTCTTCATTATTTCGATTGTTAGCAATTGAAAAGTAAGAAGTTATGATTATAATAGTTAATCAAAAAAGAGAGACTATAAATAATAAGAAAAAGTGTATAGATTAGGCAATTGACCTACTTCTAATTCCTGCCGCTGAAAAAGAATAAGACGCTTATGTCGACGTTTCTCCAAATCGTTGAGTGTTTGTCGATTACGCATCTGCTGTTCCAGCAATGAGACGCCATCGACCTCCCCTGCGCCCAATGTTGAAGAAGTAACTGAAGGTCTGGCCTTAGCAAGCTGAGATTGAGTGCCACTCATAGAGCTGGCCGAAATGGGAATAGGCGTAGGGGACGGAGATGACGAGCTAGCCAGATGCCCCTCGGGTGATTGGCAAGACTGTTGAGAAGACATCTGGAGCTGGGTAGTAGTGAAACTAGACGAAAAAAATGACAGAGGTCGGTGATTCCCATGAAGTTGGCTTAAATGAGACTGCTGATTTTGCAGTCCAGGAGGTAGAGTTAATTGATGGGAGTGCTGAGTATGCAATTGTATTTGCTGATGTTGCTGCTGAAGGAGCTGCTTTTTCGTCTTCTTAGCAAGTTTTAGTTCAGACTTTGTCTCGATTTCCAGCTGGCGCGCTAACTTAGCTTCAGAAGCAGCGGCACGCTTTCGATCTTTCTCCAACTCATTGGCATGGGCCTCCTCCAATTTAGCGAGTTCTTTCTGGGCAGCCAATTTGGTGGTTTCATAATCACGATTGAGGCATAACTTGAGATTGTCCTCCTCGGCCTGAACAAGGGGTAAAAAGTAAAGAGAAAGACATCAAGGCAAATAAAGAATTCAAATAAAATAATTAGAAAATAAATTTAAAACAATAAGCAAAGTCAAAAATGTATTAAGGATAAAGGCAAAATTATTAAATGTGCAGAAATAAGATAAGCAAACTGAGGTTCTTTTATCAAAACAAATAATCGAAGATAAGCGGAAGACGCAGGTGAATGCTTTGGAAGGATAACTAATTACGATGATGAATAATACCTATTAATCAAACTTTTGAGTTTATGTATATCAACAACTTCAACATAAAATGATATTATTTCGACATAGAAAAATATATGAAAATAATGTGAGATTATGCTTTAGGACAAGAGAGTAATCAACGAAGGTCAGAGTTCCAAATCCCAAAAGTCCTGTAAAGATCTGCAAGTGTACAGTAGTAAATTGAATAAATAATCATCATTAAAAAACAAAATAGAAATCAAATAAAAAATATAGACTAGAATATTATAGTTGAGATGACCTAGCTTTCGTGAGAGTAAATAAGGAAGTTTCATAGGTCAATGCAACGAGAAGGATAAGGACTTAAATTTGTATGAAGAATTTTAAGTAATAACGCTAATTAAAGCATCCTCCTTCGATTGCAATAAAAATGAGATGAGATGTATCCACCCTATTTCGCTTGAAATGATGAAGGAGTAGTTGAATTTTTCCACAATAATCAGTAGAGCTGACGCTGAATTAATCTCATATAACTAATTAACTGGTAGTCTCGAAACACAGCTTATGAACGAAAAAGTAAGTAATGTAGTCGATTGTCATAGAAAATAAACTTTGATTCACCGACAATCCCACGAAAAGATATGATAAGGGAAAAAGTTTGGCCTTCCTTGAAATTCACATATGCCCTGTGGCCCAAGGGCACTCGTAGCAATGTGGCGTAGTGGTTAACGTGTCGAGTTTATACGCTGCACTGTCATGGTTCGACTCCCAATAGGGGTGTTGATAGGATCTGGTCGGTTGAAACTGCAATCCACCCTGGATGGGAAAGGAAGGCTATGTGAAATTCAATGGAAACGTCAGCTCTATTCGTAGCATAGCGGGAAAACTCAAATGCAAATCCTTCGTCACCTTCCTGGTAGTCTTGGAACTCCACTTGGGAACGAGGAAATGAGACGAACTTTTATTCGACATGCAAGTGAAAAACTATTGGCTAAATAAATTTTGCTGAAGTAAATAATAAATTTTCTATTTTTAAATGATTTCGTTACCAAGAAAATTACCAGGATAAATACGTGTAAAGAAAACTATTATATGTGGATCGTGTTGTGAATCTTAATACAATCATTATTGAAATACTGAGGCTGGTAATTTCAAAGTTAATAAGCATAAGGTATTTAAACTTAGTGGAGAAAAACGGCGTTTATAAGGAAAGTAATGGTTTTAAATATCTAGCTGCAGCTATGGAAGTTTTTGGTCTAGCGCAGTTTACCATGGCTGAATAGAATGGCATGACTTGGTTTTCAGAGTGACTTCGTCCTCTGCCACTTTCCTGCACCTGACTAAATACATTCCCAGATGTACTTAGTTAAATGCCCGATATTGTAAAAACATCTGAGGAAAGTGACAGAAGAAACTTTAATCGAAATCTACCCCAAAATACGACTGCTTCAAAAATGTCAAACCTGGATAAGAGTTATTATCTGTTAATATAATTATCTGAACCCTATCCAAAAGTATGTTAGTCTAATATTGAATAAAATTTCATATGGAAAGAATTTGACGTCAAATAAGAGGCTTGAGTAGGTCTCTTAAGTCCTAACTGTACGTCGTAAATAGTAATTCAAACATTAGACGACGCTGTAAGAAATCTGAGTAAAAAAATGTTTTGATGAAACTATGATACTTTCTGCGATTAGTCACTTTAATGAAATCTTTCCCATCGTCTCATTTAGGCGTATACAAAAATAGTATTCAGGTAGTAAAATTCGCGCTGAGGAGATTGGTTGTCTCCTTCATTAAAGTAAAGATGAACATTAAAATGTTTGCAGAGGCTCTTGGGTCCAGAATTGGAGCACACGGCAGAGGCTAGACACAGTCGAGAGTAAAAAGTCAAGTAAGCACTATTTGTAAGGAGAGATAAGGTTTCTTATACAATAACTATTTGTGTTTAACTAATAGATATAGGAAGAGTTGAGTCACATATAAAAAGTGAATTAAATAGTGATCGGTTGGAATTATGATAATATACACACCTGATTTTACGCGTCAAACTGGCAAACGCATTCACACGAATCGGCATTTGCCTGTCACAAGGTCATAATAGCTCGATGCCTCAAAAGAAAGGTTAGGTTATTTTCTTTATATCATGCTGTCACTGGTGGCTTCTTACTCAAACTCGCAAATAAACAAGAGGCCCTAATGGTGCTTGCCATATGTTTTTACCGGAACAGAGATAAGCCTTGTGTATGTCAAATGCACAAATATGCCGGTAGAAGTAATTAGCAGCAAAATGAGGAGAATGTGTTGTCTGGTAACAAAATATCACAGGAAATAAAAAGGAGCCCAGAAAATGCCATAACGATGAAGAAATGGATTAGCTTTAATATATATTTTGAATGACATTGTTTTCACAATTTTGTCTACATTCTTTTCACTGCTGTGGTCCCATCACTTAACCCCATTTCATATTGCCAAGTAACTAAGTTACAACTATACATGCGTTTGTTCCAATGTTGTTTGAATGTCACTTCACCTTCCCTACTATATAAAGTGGCACTACCAAGCGAAATTGTAATTAACGAGAATACAAAGAAGCATATGTAGGTAAATTTGTCATGCGAGTTAGGAAGGATAGATGAGGATACGGCACTATGAGCTGCAATGGTTGAACAGAAAATGGATCAAGGGGATTGCCTTTATTTGCCACTGATGAAAACTTAATACAATTAAAGGAAACTGCGATTAAACCTATGGACGCACAATTTTAGACTTAACATATACGATTAAGTGTCGT